ATTACAATTGCTAACAGAAAATGGTTTCCTAATAGAAACAGTTAAGGAACGGTTATTCATCTCCTACAATTATGCATTCTACCCGTTAATCCTTCCTCTAAACTAACTGTGATACATAGTTAGTTCAGCTTAGTAGTTGTACACATTTCCATCTGATTTCAGAACTTCCGGAAAGATTCCAACTTTAATGGTTTTGTCATTACATTTGCAGTTTGTTCTTCTGATCCACAATGCAGCAGTTCAATGATTCCATCGTTAGCAAGTTCCCTCAAGAAATGGAAACTGACATCAATATGCTTGCTTCTTCCATGCATGACAGGGTTCTTTGACAGTTTAATAGTGGAAGTATTGTCACACATAACTATTGTGCTCTTCTTCTAAACATGTCCCAATTGATGCAAAACTCTCCTCATCCACACCACTTGACTTGCACACCCTGTAGTTGCCACAAACTCTGCCTCTATGGTTGACAATGTAATAATTGGTTGTTTCTTTGATAACCAAGACACTACCTATGAACTTAACAAAAAGACGTAACCTAAAGTGCTTTTTCGATCATCTAAGTCACCAGCATAGTCACTATTAGTATAAGAAATCAAGTCATTTGAGCTCCTCTTCTTGTACATAATTCCATAATCAAAAGTTCCCTTTAGGTACCTTAGTATCCTCTTGGCAGCTTGTAGATGCAATTCTGTAGGTCTGACCATATATCTGTTAATCAAACTTACACTGTAAACTAAGTATGGACGAGTTGAAGTGAGATACACAAGGCTCGAGGCTCCCTATGATTTGTTTGTAGAACGATTCATCAACTACAACTTCGTCTACATCATTGCTTAACTTAGAACCTAGAGCAATCAGGCTATTGACTTCACGACTTTCTATCATTCCAAAACGCTTCAAAATCTCTAGTGCATATTTCCTTTGGTAGATAAAGATACCATCACTTTGTTGTGATACTTCAATGCTAAAAAAGAACTTCATTTTTCCCAAATCAATCATCTCAAACAATTGCATCATTGAACACTTGAAACTACCCATCATCTTTTCATCATCACCAGTATATATTATATCATCGACATAAACACTTGCAATAAGCATTTTCCCTTCTTTGCTTCGTTTAGTGAAGAGTGTCTGCTCATTTGAACATTTTTCAAAACCCTCATTTACAAAGGAATTCTCTATGCGGCTGAACCAAGCTTGTGGAGCTTGTTTTAGGCCATATAATGTTGTATGCAACTTGTAGACTTTGTCCTCACTTCTCTTAACTTCATAGCCCTTTGGTTGTTCAACATACACATCTTTATTAAGTTCATCATGGAGAAAGGCTTACTTCACATCCATCTGGAAAACATTCCAGTTTCTTTGAGCTGTTATAGCCACTATCATTCTCACGGTTTCAATCTTTGCCACTGGAGCATACACTTCTGTGTAATCTATTCCATGTTTTTGTGTGTACCCTTTTGTCACCAAACGTGTTTTTTGCTTATCAAACTCTTCATGCTCATTATACTTGGTTTTATAAATCCATTTCACTCCAATTTTCTTGACTTCAACAGGTAACGCGACTAATGTCCATGTCTTGTTCTTCTCTATGGACTTGATTTCATTGTCCATGGCCAATCTCCAGTTTGCATCTATCACTGTTTCTTCATAATGCAATGGATCACTTGATATTATCAAAGCTAAATCTTCATCTTTAGAAGAACCAAGGCTCTCCCCGGTAACATAATCCTTCATCCATGCAGGAGGTTTTCTCATTCGTGTACCTCCTTCATTATCCTCATTGTCTCTATTATTAGTGCATACATCTCCTTCATTATCCTCACTGTCTCTCTATCCTACATTTCCCTCATTATCCTCACTACAGTTATTGTCACTGACACCATTAACTCCTCCTCCATCGCTATCTCCCCATTCCAAATCCACCAACATTTGTTTTTCAAAAGTTTCATCCCATTCCCATTGTTTCTCCTCTTCAAATATCACGTCTCTACTTATTACTACCTTTTTTGTAATCGGGTTGAATAACCTATAGCCTTTAGATTCCTCACTAACACCCAGAAATATACACTTAACACTTCTATTATCAAGTTTAGTTCTTTGTACCTTTGGTACATGAACATGTGTTATACACCCGAAGACACGAAAATGAACAACAAAGGGCTTGATTCCATTCCACGCCTTTGTTGGTGTGATATTTTTTACCATCAAGATTGGACATTTATTTAGCACATAGTTGCTCCAGTTCACTGCCTCTGCCCAAAGTGTTCTTGGTACTTTCTTCTCACATAGCATTGCACGAACCATGTTCATTAATGTTCTATTCTTTCATTCAGCTACACCGTTTTGTTGAAGGGTGTAAGCAGTCGTCAGTTGTTGCTTAATGTCATTTTTCTCACAGAATTTGTTAAACTCAAGTAAGGTGAATTCACCTCCTCTATCTGTTTGGAGACACTTGATAGGTAGGCCTGTCTCATTCTCTACCATCTTCTTAAAACACTTGAAATGACTTAGTGCTTCTAATTTTTCCAGCAGAAAATATATTCATGACTTTCTACTGTAGTCATCTATAAAACATAGTGTGTATTTTTTGTTGCCACGGGACATGGGGGTAATTGGTCCATAGATGTTTGTATGAATAAGACCTAATATTTGACTTGCTCTCCAAGAACTCTTCTTTGGTATATAATCAAGGTGATGCTTCCTCATGATACAATCTGTGCATAATTCATCTGAGACAGTAAATGTGGGAAGACCACGTACCATTTTCTTGCTCTGCAGTCCTTAAGCCTTTATAGCTTAGATGTCCATATCTGTGATGCCAAAGTTGTGATAGATTCTACTATTTTGTGAGATTGTGTGGAAGCACTCATCGTGTTGTTGGGATGTCTCTTGTGATTGAGTTAATAGAATAAACATTATGTTGGCACTCATATTTGTTTTAGTGATCAAGCCTTTGTGAGGATGGTAGATCTTGCATACCCCTCATTGAATTAGAATGGCCAGACCCTTCTCTTGAAACTGCCCTACACTCAAGAGATTATTCTTGAGTTATAGGACATAATATACTTCAGTCACAGTAAGACTGATTTCATTCAAATGCAGCTTCACACTTTCTTTGCCCCTCACATTCATTCTAGTATTGTTTCCTAGCCTTACCAATTGCTGAAAACTATCATCAAGCCAACTGAACATGGTTCTATCTCCACACATGTGGTTTGAACATCTTGAATCAATGAACCATACATCTCTTCCTTTAGCTTTGTTTTCTTCTACATATGACATTAGTAACATCTCCTTTTCCTCGTCAATATCCTTGGTATAGTTAGCTTCTTTGTTCCAAGAAGGGCACTCATACTAGAAATGACCTAGTCTATGACACTGATAGCATCCAACTGTAGCTTTGTTGAAGCTGTTGCTACCGCTGCCCCTTCCTCTTCCTCTACCCTTGTAATTAGTTCTACCTCGTCCTCTACCTTTCTTTTTTTCCAGAGAAACCTTTAAAACTTGTTCTTCACCATGATTTTTCTAAAACTTCTACTCATGCAAGATTAATGAGCTTTGAAGTTCATCCATAGAAAGATTGTCAATGTCTTTTGACTCCTCTATGCAACAGACAACATAGTTAAATTTTTCTGTGAGGGTGCGAAGGATTTTCTCTACAATCTTCACATCCTCCATCTCTTCTCCATAGACTCTCATCTTGTTTCCCACTGTCATGACTCTAGAAAAGTATTATGTCACTCCTTCATTGAATTTCATATCCATAGTTTCAAATTCTCTTCGTAGTCCTTGAAGATGAGACTTCTTGACTCTTGCATTTCCTTCAAATCTTTTCTTCATGGCATCCTAGATATCTTTGGCAATATCCTTCTTTAGAATCGTGTCAAGAACTGTGCGATCTAAGGCTTGGAAAAGATAATTCTTTACTTTGGGATCCTTCAGTCTCAACTCATCCATCTTCTTCTTTTATGCATCTGTTTGCACAATTCCACTTGCTGGCTCATCATAGCCAATCTCTATAAGTCCCAGAATTCTTTTAAACGCAGGAAATTTACATAAACATGCTCTAATGATCATAATGACCATCAAACCGAGGAATGGAAGGCTGCATAAAATTTTCTTCACTAGACATCTCTATTGCACTCTGTGTTTAGGACGGTTCAAAGTTGCGGCTCTGATATCAATTGTTGAGAACCCTTTAATCACAAACAAATCAAGGCTTTGCAACTCTATATATTTTCTACACCTTTATTCAATGAGCTTGGCTATATATATATATATATATAGCCTTAATTGTAGGTGATCAATAACCGTTCCTTAACTGTTTTTGTTAGGAAACCGTTTTCTGTTAGCAACTGTAATGCTAACAGAAATGCACGTGGTATTATTCATTCTGTTTCCTGTTATTACTATAAGGCTATATATATATATATATATATATATATATATATATATATAAATTGAAAGTTAACAATAGCATAAATAAAAATAGAGGGGGCAGACGAAAAGAAAATTAAGAGTACATGGATGGAAAGAAGCTCTTAAGCCTCAGCACGCCACTTACACCATACACACAAGGCAAGTTGCTCAACTATTCATCCCCATTATATAATTAAGTATTATGCGTGCCTTTGAAGTGTTTAGATCATGAAAGGTTAAGGTAACAAAGAAGAGCCAACACGAGAATAATATTTTGACACTAATAGGCGTTTGTTGAAAAAATAATTGTTTTAAGAACTAATTTATTTAATTAACTCGGTTAAAAATCAAGATTGACACCATAACAAGGGTAAATCCAATTATAACTCAACTATTAACTTGATAATTATTTTTTTATTAAATCATTTTATTTTGATTTTTTTAATTATTAATTTTTAAAATAGATTCAAATCAACTCTTCTAACTCATAAACCGGTTTTTACCCCATGTCTGCAAGGGTTTTAAAACTAATTAAAAAGAGGGACATGATCTTGCTTATAGCTAAGATAAACAACAATAGCAATGCAGATGCTTGCTAGTACATATTATTGAAAATATACAGGGAGAAAGGGGTGGGAACAAACATTATACACATGCCAAGAGGAATAATTAACCCATGGTTTCCGAATGTCTAGTAGTGTAGGGGAGGCTCTGGATTAGTTAAACAGTTTTAGCATGACCAAGCCGAGCAGCTAAAGCCAAAGCCCATGTTGAAGCTGCTCTTTTTTTAGCACTTTAATTGTTCCCAGGCCTGGCTGCATTTGTACATGGGCTATCCAACATTGAAAGATCAGCTTCATCTGGGAAATTGATCAGGACTCTCATTTGCACTTCTCTCAATCTGACAGCGAACTTCGTTGCCTCATTCATTGCAGCCCTAGCACCAGCCAATGCATCTCCGAGTTCTTCATTGATCAAATAATATGAGCTTACTTGACCTAGTATGTGATCATGCCTTTCTTGAAATTTGCGAGCCCTCTCTTCAGCATTTTCCAACACCTCAGCTACAATCCTCAGTTTCTCTTTTGTGATTTGTTGCTTGTGCCATAGCTTCAAGTTCGGCAAGAGGAGAAAGAACGACGCGGAGAATCCAGCAATGGCAAAAATAAGATGGCTACAGCCCATGAACAAAGCTTTTCTTCGTGTCTATGCATCAGGAGAACAAATTTACAAAAGAATATATTGAAACGCTTTTCTTCGTGTCTATGCATCTATGGTGCTCGAAATGATTCCTTGCTCTCATCGAGGGACATCACTTTTGTTTAATGCACTCCTTTTGTACTGTACCAGATGGAACATGTGACGTTGCTTTACGACATAGAACTCCCTTTTTCACATCATGGAGCTGAGTTTTTTTATTTATTTTTCTCTGTCATGAAACAATGTTTCTGAGATTTTTCCCTGTAATTTTCTTATGGAAAGACACCGCTATTAAACAGTATACCTAAATCTCAACATATCCAATTTTGGTCAAAAACACCGTGCTTTTGTGATCAGAAGTTCTATATGGGATATTAAGGAGGCTGAAGGGTAAGACACAAAAACATGCACTTACAAGGACAAAAGACTCGGTTAATATCATTACTCACTTCTGTTTGAAAAGGAGTTTTGCTGCTATTCTACCCCTGGCGGTTTTGAAATCCAGTTTCATTTTACCAGATTTTCTCGCCCGTCTCGGCTTTCGTGGCTTTCTATTTGATTGCTTTCTTTCTAAGCGCTGACGACGGATCTCTGGATCGGCCCAACCTTTGCCCCATTCCGCAAAAGAAGAATATGATTTGTGTTTGTTCACTGAGAGTTGCATATCAGCTTCAGGGTAAACAGAGAGTGGTTGCTCTCTATCATATTCCAGATACTCAAGTCCTAATTTTGTTGGCTCCGGGCATTTTATCTGGACATGGCTCTGCATAAACAGTGAATTTAATACAGGACCAATTTAGCTGAGAACCAAAATTTCAAACAAACAAAACCTACAATCTGCATGCTTGAGAAAGCAATGGAGATTCGCGCGACAAAATACAAATTTCAAATATTGCTTACAATCCACAGCTAAGCTTCAAGAATTTGCCTTGTACAAAAGACAGCCATAAGATCACAAATTCAATCGTGTCAAAAATGTTTCCTCCGCTAATTAATAGAATCAGAAAACAGGTCAAAATAAAAGCTAGGGCAATCAGACCTAGGAGCTGCCAGAAGGCTAAGCAAATCCCGAGTCTAAATCAGCAACCCATCCATATGATTGATGCCCAGTAAACAAGATATTTTCTAAAGTTTTACACATGCATAGCAACGCTGACACAGAAATACACTGTAAACACTTGGTATAATTGAGCACTTCAAAGACACTACTAGGAGAATGGAAAGTCATTTGAGCAGGTACCTTTTCATCACCCTCTCTGATGTATCCTTTGCCTTCCATAATCCGAGCTAGACCTTGCCACCATAGCTGATCTGTTGTCCAAAATTTTTGATGCTGCACAAAACCACAATAGATAATCAAAATAACAACTGATAATTTGAGTGAAGTGACATATTCCTAACTCGTCACTGTTCCAACACGCGAAATAAGTATAAAGAGATGGTTTGCATCTAGGTTACCTGCTCCTTTATTTTAGTGACGAACATTCTGAGGTTTGGCTTATGCACCGCTCTCTGTGATTTCGTGTCATTACATTTACCATCATATGAGCTATCAATAGAATGGTTCTGTTCCTGAAACTCAAAAAAAGCCTTCCCTTGAGAATTTTAATGGGAAAAAGGAGCAGAAAATGAATTATCTGGATGCACAAGGATCACTCTTTATTACTCATCTTATGGTAGATCTATATGTCAATAAAACTTTGGGTGGCATATAACCTGGCACTTGCAAAAAAACTAACTAGAATTAAAATCCTTACACTTAGATGATACGCTGCAATGATCTTCATTAAAATATCAGCCTCCTCTTTCAAATCCTGCATTTGTGGAGGCCCATTGACACACACATCGCACCTGCATTAAAGGAGTCCTATTAAAAATGGCTTGACAAAGCATGTTGTGGAACAGTAACTTGATAGATATGATGAAAAGTAACTGTGCAATCAATGTGAAGCAAGGGTATTAGAGCAAATAGTAAAAAAGACAGAATCTCAGCAGTAAAAGTAGGTGACCACAGAGAAAAAATATTCAAGTCAAAAGACCACTTTATTGAAATAGACATTAAAGTAGATTCTAAAATGAAAGAAACACTACGTACAAGAGGCACTTCTCATAACTGAAATCCTCCCCAAAATACTCTACAAGTGTTTTAGCTCGACAACATGAGGTATTCATTCCATACCTGCAAGAAGACAAGTAAAAAGGAAAAGCACATCTGTAACAAAAGGTTGAAACGGAAGCCGAGATGCAGGACTGCAAAAAATGTCTTGAATGATAAAGTGGACCTGAAACAATCAGACAACATCTTGAACGCATGTTTTGTCTGAGCTTCACTTCTTTTACTTGGTAAAAGTGATGGTGTTCTTGACAGGTTTGCATACAGAACTGCTTGGCAAAGAAAAAGTTTTTTTGGTTAGTAAAAAAAAAACAATCATGATGCTGATGACTTCTATTACAATCATGCAGTGTCTCATCCCAGAATACAAATCCTTCACTTGGAAGCAACCACAAGGAATGAAACAGATATTGTACGAAAAGGGAGTTTACTGTACAAGTTTTGATCAACACCATGACATGGAACTTCTATTCAAATTAAAAATCATGACCAAACATAATTTAAGTCCAACAATGATAAGTAGTCTATATGTGATATTGTACGAAAAGGGAGTTTACTGTACAAGTTTTGATCAACACCATGACATGGAACTTCTATTCAAATTAAAAATTATGACCAAATAAAATTTATGTCCAACAATGATAAGTAGTCTATATGTGAAAAGAACTTGCCGCATTCTGCTAGTTTCCCATCCCTTCCAGCACGGCCTGCTTCTTGATAATATGCTTCCAAACTCTAAAATTCGACATTAGATGAAAGAAGCGTTAGGAGAACAAATATAACTGATAATTATATGACAAAAAAGGAAAAAAGAATAGGCAGACAAGTTGCCAGAAGGAGAAGTGAACTGTTGCTATTGCTTAGGATAAAAAAAAAGTGAAAGAGCACCAGATTTTTCCTACAACATTATGATAAGTTCTTGAATACAAATGGATAACAATATCCAAAACAATATTGCAGAAATATCAAATCTCAACTGCTAACCTGTGGCCAGCCATAGTGAATAATTCTTCTGATATTTGATTTGTCAATTCCCATTCCAAAAGCAACTGTGGCGACAACCACCTAGAGTAATATGTGAAAATGTTTAGCAGGAGTTTTTTGCTATTGCCTTATTCTATTAGGAAAGGACAGAAAGTGAAAGTTAAAACTAGGTCATTTTCTTCCTCGTATCAAAAAAGGATGATAATAAGAGGTTTAGCTCCTATGAAACCATATGGAAAGAACCAGTTCTGAATTTTTCAGCACCCCCATTTGGCAGTACCTTCAGAAAAGTCAAGTGCATCATAGAAAGAGGAAATATAATCCCCAAAAAAGAAATAAATAATAAGAAGAAATTTAATTGTAGTAAATTCATTTTATCACAAGCAGACAAAAAATGGAGATCAGAAATGGTGCAAGACATGCCCAAACAGGATGCTGTTAGTGTTCAAACAGTGCAAGTTATTAGCACCGTTAAGAATTCAAAAACCAGATGAAAGATGCATCATGCAATCCAGAACGATCAGTTTCCCTACCCATACCTGTATCAAATTTTCGTGGAATTCCTTGTGGACCTGCCTTAGGTGTGATTTTGGCAACTGAGAGGGCAAAATGGCCATGGGTCAGTTGCATGTTAAACAAGAGAAGTTTTCATAGGAGTAAAAGATTCATACCCTTAGTCATGTGATGTGAAAGATTCAAAAACAAGTGAGCATAAAGAATCACCACCAAATAAAAAAGGAAATATACAAATAGAGAAAAATCCAATGATTAAATCTGCAAAGCAGTTTGAAAGTTAATTAGAAGTAGAGGTTACTTTTGCTTGATAGATCAGCCATCAAATCGACAGGTTTCCTTTTGTCATATTTACACCATCAAGTGCTATGCAACATAGCAGTTTCACTACCAATATGTCACATTATATTACAACTGAGTGAAAGTGATTCCAATTCAATTGCAAGGTTGATTCAGTAGGCTTAATAATGGAAAAAGAAAAATCTTATCAAATTAAAATAGAATACATGGTATCCATCCAGTAGACACGGGAAACAACCATGTGATACATACTGATGCATTATAAGCAGCAGCTTTCACACCAAAACCACAAAGATACTCTGTGATGCTCAATGTTTGTTTTCTTGTAGGAACATAAATGATGGTTGGTCCCTCTTCTAAAGGCTCTGGCAAAAGTTTCGACCTGTCTTCTATCTTACTAGAGGGATCAACTGTTTCAGATGACTCGCAAATATACTGGTCCTTGCAAGGAGATTGTCCACTGAATTCACCACATGCAACTTCAAAATGAGATATAGTAAGAATTAGAATAGAAAATATATGTGTGTGTGTGTGTGTTAATGTTGGAGGTTAGAGATGAAATAAAAATTTTTCTTTCTATTAGCAATTCTACTGGCATAAAACTCAATACTTTGCATCTGCAATTTTCTTGATGCAATTTTCTTTTCAAGTTCTATGTTGTTTTCACGACATAGTTTTACAGCCAGCCAGTATAATGCAGCAACGGACATGATCTAAATTAATAGAAAGATGCATACCGTCCCAATCATCCACAATGTGAAAGACATCTACATCATTTTCCAAATATTCAATTGACATTTCTTTTTCCCTTGAAGCAGTCAATCCATTTTCCTTTGTTAAATTTAACTCATCATCATCTACATCACAGCAATCATCTTCAATTCTGTTCATGTCATTTGGAAAAGATACATCTCCATCAGATATGCTATTATCAGCAGAGCTATCAGAGCAACCATCTAATTCTTCTGCGATACTACTCCACTTCTTTTCATTAGACTTTTTCTTCCCAGCATATATGTCTATCAAATGGCTGAGATTCTTCCCATAAGAAGATGGAGAAGAGGTTCTACAATGTTTTACCTGTAAGAGCAGCAACTGAATTTTGGTTTTCCACACCAGTAGATATTTGATATGATTCAATATAATATGATATATAAGGCATGAAAGTTAGGAAGCAAACTAGAAAACATGAGAAGAAATCATAGAGATTCATCAGGAAAAAAAATAAAAATAAAATCCCATCAGGAATTAATCTAACATGTTAACTATTTAGAACACCATCAAATTCAATTTTCAATTGTTGGTCCAATTGTAACAATATCAGACTTCATAGGGAAATGATTACTGCAATACCTAGAGAACATAATGATGCTGTAATTAGTAGGTTGACACCGTGGTCCTCTTGGATTTAGGCTAAATATTTCAGATGCAGACTTATAATTGTCCGTTTACCATGTTGTTCAAAATTTTCCATGTGAAGCTGAAACAGTCATAATGTTTTGTTTCATGAAACCTGATATGAAACTAGCAAAAATCACACTTCTTGCATTAGTCAAATTAACTTCCTTTCAATGGAAAGCATTTACAGGGATATAAAAACCCCATTAAATATTAAACATCATACAAGCAGGAACCACCTTCTGCACATTATGATGCATAGTCCTCTTGGACAATTCTCACGAGTGGAGCATGAAGGAAGCTTATTGGAAAATGAGCTAGATGTGTATGTGATAAGTTCAGAATTAGACATCTTGTACTAAAATTAAAATTTTGGAAGCATGTTTTTAGTACATGAAAAATATGGATATATCTTGTTTATATATCACAATATATCTGTTAGTTTCTATGCATCCAAATCAGGTAAGAGTAATACTGATGCTTATGACCTGCGGACAACCTGCAGGAATTTAACCAATCAAACAGCAGCTATGTAGAAATCAGTATTTTTTAATTCAAAAGCTGTTTTTCAATCCTTTTCTCCTATTCCTTTCTTCCCTTTTACTTGCTACCATCAAATTAAGGTTGACAGGTTTGGGTGTTGTTTTCACCTTCCACAATAAGAGAACAAGAAAAGTTGAGCCCTGATAGGTCAAACAACTATTCAAACATAAGTTGGAGGGCAGATTACCGAGAACTGTAGATTTGGCCGAAAAAACGAAGTAAGCACAACCTTCGTTTCCTTTGACATGCTCAGCACTTTAAGCACATCTCCTCGAACTGGAATTGTGGCAGTTGCGGTCAACGCCATCAGCGGGATGTCGAATTTTAAGAATTTTAGATTGCAAGCACTGAAGTTCTCCCGGATAACAGACAATTGCCTGAAACATTACAATATGCTTCTTGTTAAGTTGTGATGACATCTAAGCATATAGTACTTTGAGCCGAGTCCAGTAGCATGAGAAATGGTGAAAAAGCTTCACAATATCACCTTCCTTATAAAATCATCACTGATAAGATGACTATCAACACACATTAAATAGATAAAGGACACATAGCTAGCCAACTTTCTTAACTTGGATTTGCTATGTTTAGCTTCATCTGAGCACTGATGGTACTTCTCAGTGCATGAAGTTCATAACTATATGTATAAAATTAACCAATCCAATCAGCCTGTGATTGTAAGAGAATAGGTATAACAAACAAGACCATGAAACAGCCAACAGAATGAAGAACACAAACCTGTAGCTAGGCCGAAAATTATGTCCCCACTTAGAAACACAATGAACTTCATCAATAGCAAACAAGGTTATGCCACGACTTTCTGCAAGTCCCTGGAGCGGTTTTATCAGTCTGCGGTGAAATTATACCACTCTTTCAATCAGGAGAGCTAGCAAACTCCCTTTTTTAGACACAAAACAGAACCACATACATGCAGCTTACCTTGAAATTGTCTCTGGGCAGACATATATTATGTCATACGTGCCTCTCATTGCTTTCTTTTCCACACTGCTATCAGGCTGCCCAGATCCAAGAAAGCACGCAGAGACCCCATGTTTTGATAGCTTTAAGCACTGATCATGCATCAAGCTAATCAACGGTGAAATCACAACCACAACCTTTCCTGTTAGTAATGCTGGAATCTGGAAACACAAAGATTTTCCTGCAACAAAATAATCGTATAACAAAAGTTACTACAGCTGACCCAAAACAAAGAACAAACCAAACTAATCATATATGACAACAAAAAGAAGAGAAGAAAAAAAAATACCAGATCCTGTAGCTGCGAGAACAAGGCAATCTTGATGAGCTGCCCAAGCAGCCAAGGCTTCCTTTTGGAAACCCTTTAATGAACCATAACCAAAACGCTCTTGCAATACCCTATTCGCTCTCTCCTCCCAATCCAATCCAAAACTCACCTCTTCTTTACACCAAACTGGCAAACCATCCACTGCATCCTCGACCTTACCACAATCCTCGCTAACACACGATTCCTTACATCCATTCACACTAAGCGGCAAAACCTTCGACCCAGAAACCAAAACATTAGACACATCACTACTAAGCATGCCTCGTTTCACGCTGCGTGGCAACCGGAAATGCTCCAGTATACTAGACTGTCGCTTTCGACCCGAATAGGCAGAGCCAGACAGCATTCTCTTTCCACTTCTGCTGCTTGCAAAGCATTCAGAACTACTGGTCATGGTACCAATACCTTCACAATTTCTGCTCGAAGAACCGTTCAATAAATAATCCACAGCTTTATCCAACGACGGACCGACTTCTTTAACAGCTTGTTCCGCCGCACAACTCTCAAACCCCATTTCTATAAGCTTTTCAACGGTTCCATCACATGCCACAGATTTTTCCATCACACCAAACAGAAAAATTCACTATAAATGGAAAGGGAAAAAGAAAAAAAAATGAAATTAAGAATTGTTCCTGAAAAAAAAAAAAAACCGTGCTACAGATTCATGATTTTAAGCGATTGGTGTCGGTTTCTTATACGTGTCCGTATAAGATCTGTGTGTATACGTGTACATGTGAGTGGTGGAGATGGAAAGGTTCTGAGCATTGAAATGCGATAGGAATGTTGTTCGATTGAGCAGATGGAAACCCTAGGATTTTGCAGGTGTGAGATTTTTCTATTTTTGAGAGATAGAGAGATAAATCAATACAGTGCGTGGATGTGTGCGATCCGGCCCGAGAACTTAAACCTTTTCCCGCGCAATTCGGAGGATTTTGACATTGTTATAAAATCAGATCGGGCTGTTATGTTAATCCGATTATCCATCAATTTATATCTTAATATGAGCAGGATTTAAAATTAAACAGGATAAAAACTGATTTAGTCAGATTAGGTTGTCTTGGTATGTGTATTCATGATTTGAAGTTTAATTTGATATTTTTATTTTATTTTAAAAAAATAAAAACTTAAAATAATATATTTTTTATTAATTTAAATCAATATAATTTAACTCTCAAATTTAAGTTTCGAAAATCTAGAATATTATAAGAGGAGAGTTAGTGACTGTTTGTGTTTATACGGCAGCTTTTATTTTTAACTCATTTTATTGTTGGTGTAGGAATTATATAAAATTTGTTTTAACCATATGTGTGTGAAAAGCAGTTGAAAGTCTTTCTCTCCATCTCGCGGCTAGTAGATTATCCATGTGAATAGTAAAGTTACTTTTTTATTTATTACTTAAGTTATTATTTTGGTTACATCGGATCTTATTTAAAGTTAAATATATCGAATTGAATCCGATTTAGTTAAAAAAAATTAATTTTTATTTTTAATTATATTTTATTTAAAAAATTAAAAATTAATTATTTGATAATATAATATTTACAAAATTTAATTACAATTTTAATTTTGTTTCTAATGATATTCTACTTTATGTTGTTGCATATTTAAGAAATTAAAAAAATTATAGTCCTTGTTAAATGAATTTCTTATATAGTGTAATTATAAATAGTTTAATAAAATAATAAAAAATATTTTATACAAGTATTATTTATTTCATAATGTAATAGCAGTAGTTAAATCTAAAATATTTAAATTAAAAATCATCAATATTAATATGTATAATTTTTAGTTATTTTATAACTTCAATTTAAAAGGTATTCTTTTAACCAAATATATTAAATTATTTTTTATTTAACTTTAATTTTAACAAAAATTTTAACCAAACATATATAAATATCAAAATAACATTAACTAAAATTACTTTTTATAAAATATTTTTTTAAAATAACAATTATAAAAGCTACCATAGATATCAAATACAAATTAGAGCTAGTCAAGCGTTTGATACTTTAAAAAAAATTAACATGTTGATTTTAACAACAACAACAAATAATTAATTAAGATATTAATATAATAAGATAAATAATAAAAAAGAGATATCAATTTTGACAGTAGTTCAGATAATTATATGCTCTAGTGCTTGAACTTTCATATAAGTATTTATTGTCAAATTATAGTCTTTCTAATGGGCAAGTCCTTGCTAATTACACTAACGATTTTTTAGAATTAATATTATAAAACTTTATAATCAAGATTTAAACCTTTCAAATAACTCGTAATAAGAAACTACTAAATAGTTCAAGTGTCACTTGTATTTTCATAATAAATCAATCTTTTACATAAATGATAACACTTCACAAGAAAATATTACGGTCTTTATGAATATATAACCAAGCCTGAAAACGTGGAAGATGGATGTTATGAAAGAAGGGTTTAAAGTTCAAGGAGAATATAAAAAGAGGTGAAAGCTTAGAGCATCAAGTCTGTAAAAAATTCATGGCATTTGATAAGAAGGTACTGTTTATTATTATGTTTTAAAAATATTTTTTAAAAAATATTTTTTATTAAATTAATATTTTTTATTATTTTAAGATTATTTTAAGATATTAATGTTAAAAATAATTTTTTAAAAATAAAAAATATTATTTTAATTTATTTTTAAATAAAAAATACTTTAAAAAATAATCATAAGTTATAGGTTTTTTTTTTTTTTTTAACGTAGATGAAAGTAAAATGATGATATCTATAGGTGAAACCTTGCATAGTTGCTAGTCACGTGTAAGAAACAAGAGCAAGGGATTTTTATTTTTCGAAGGTAATTTTTTATCTTGTTAGAAATTGCTATGTTTTTTTTAAAAAAAGAAAAATAACTGCTACAGATAATTTGAATATAAAACAAGCTAATAAAATCAAACAAGTTAGTTACTAAGTTTTAAACACACTTGTTTTATTATAATAAATCCACCCTTTAAAGTTCAAGAAAGCATAGTTTATGCTTTTTATTTTAAATAAATTAAATGATGATATTAAAATAATATAAGCTTAGGCATCTTAGAGCTATATTTGCATAAAAAAGGTCCATACTATTTCAAATTGATGTGAAAAAAATTCTTACATTATTAAAATTTTTCACATGCATATTAAATTTAGTAATTGTTATCGTATAAATAATTAATGTATAGGTGTCAAAAATCAGTAGGCTAACAAGCTTTGGACCGTGCATGTGTGGTTTGTGGGGGAGCGGTTTCCTTGTTTGGCAGAATTATAATTAATGCCCATATATTTTAGTGAATTACAATTGACCCTTGAATTCTTTTTAATTATGCAATTGACAGCCATGCTGAAAGATAGAAATAGAATAGAAAGAGAAAAGGGATAAATTGAGATTTTTTTACAAAACAAGTAGGATTTAGAGGTTGTTTATACGAAGTGGATAAGATTTGTTAAACTCACCTCGATTTGACAAATAAATTTAGTTATTTATTAATTTTAAATTTAATGCAAGTCCGGTTTTATATTAAATCAAATGAAAATTAATACAGTAAAAATTGGAGAGATTTAGTTTAAATTTATTTATTTATTTATTTTAAAAAAATATTATCTTAATTTTAATTTTAATTTTTGAATTGACTCGTCCGGAATTTATTAAAAAATTCATTTTAAATTGACCGGATTTATTAGCTTGGTTGAGACCAGTTAAATCTATCCTCCGTTTCCCTTCGTTGTATAAATCCCATGCAATTCCCTCTCTTCACTCACAGTCTCACACGTTCCTTGCTAAACTTTCCCTCACTCTTCATGTTCGAGTAAAAGAAAGCAAAGTACAGAACAAAGGTAGAGGGAGTCGAGCGAAGACTTGAAGAGGCTAGAAGAGGGAGTAGAATACTTGAAAAGGCTGCTGGGATTAATTCTTTGGCTTCTGATTCACAGTGGTGGAAATGGACGTCATCAACGCATCAGAAGAAGCTGCGAGGAGGAAGAATAAGCAAGATCGGTGGAAACTCCACGAGACTGTTATTACAAATCCTTGATGTGCTCGATTCATTCTAATTCAATCAATTGAACAAAGACCAGATTCTAGCTAGTTGGGACTAGTCACAAGGCAATTAATCTAAACAACCCAAAAAATCTACACGAAATTCATAAAAAGAAGGTTACATTCAAGTTGGTGATTGGATGATAATCCTCTAAACACGCAATGCAAAGATCCAGTCTACCTAAATGGAGCAAGAGGGTTTGGACTGCTAGGGACTTTGAGGCTCTTAAGTTCTTTACAGACATGATCTAACATTCCCAGAAAGTCTCTTACAATCACGAAAATACGAAGTGGATTGGATTCTTCCCTGCTTACATATCCATGGAAGTATTCTGTAATTTCTCTAACATGCAACATGACTCTACCTTCTTCTTCGTGCAACTCCTTTAGATTCCTTGCTGCATAATTTAGGAAGGTTTTCGTCGTGTGAACAAAGTTTCTGCTCTTTTCATCGGTCATTAAGTCCTTGTTTACTAGCTGCTTTATTTTTTCCATTCCATCCGATAGGTTTGAGACTGAACTTGCAAGAACATCAAGGTCTATTGTAGCTGTTTTCCTGACATTGTAGAGTTCCGTGCTTAGACCTGAAACCAGGTCGAGTCCCATTCTTCTGTAATCTTCTTCCCTTTCTTCGACGGTTTTAGTTTTGTTTTTCTGATTGATCCTCCCCATAATGCTATCTGATACTCGAATCCCTTCCGACCGGATTATTTCTTGGACAACGAAGTGGAGCAAGGTAGTTTTACCATCTGTTCCTTTCACATCAGAAAGTTTAAGGAGTGCATCGAGTTTGAATGCTTTTGCACCTCCTCTGATCGTCCCCACATTCATCCGGTTGCCTGTTTTGAGCACTGCTTCAAGCAACTTTAAGAAAAGTCTGCTTGACCTGAGTTCTTTGCAGGCTTCCTGGTAGAGAACAAGAATTAGAAAGGAAGAGGGATTAGATGTGTTGAAATATCGTTTTGATGAAAAGTTTGCGTGTTTGATGGTTACCTCTAGCATCGAAAAAGAGTTTCTCAGATGAACCACCTCATCTTCAAAAGTTTCTCTATAAAGCATGGCTTCAACTCGTTGAAAGGCAAATGTTATGCTAAGAACTACTCGAACAAACTTCTCTGCAGACCCCAACTCATTGATGTTTCCTTTATAACCGAATAGCTTAGCCTCTTCTTCCTCAGTAGGTGCCATCTTTGCCAGTGCCTCGAGTTGTTGTAAACACAAGCCATCCCCTGTTGTCCACATTATTAGTCAGTTGTTGTAGGCATATAGCATATATGTTATGTGTATATTTGTACACAGTACTCCTTTGTAACGAAATGTATCCAAAGAATTTATAGTTCGTTGTAATGATAAGGCATCTATCAGGAATCCATTTGCAGGAGGAGATGCACTTTTGCTTCAAATTTCTAACTTTGATCCTAAAATGATGTATTGTCTGCTTTTGCAAAATTTAAAATTCTGTTCAGCTTTGCTGTTTACTATTGGAAGAGGATTTTGAGATATTTCAGGGCCTTTCAAGTTTACAAAACACACCTCTCATTAGTGCACCACACACTTGCTCAGCAGTTGCAGTTATGGCTTTTGAGAGAATGGTGATGTTCTGCAGTCTCTTTGGCTCAAGCACATGCTTGCTTGGTGAAGGAGTTTTGCTCTTTGCTTCATCATTCTTCTCTGTGCTTTGGAAGTTGTACCCAAATAGTGATTCAATCATCTCTTCATCGAATCTATTACAGAAACCTCATGTTAGTAAACTCCAAGCGGAAGATTGGAACTTTGAAGTAATACAAATTCACAAACTTACTCAAATGAGCTTGATCTTATCTTGTCCCACACCATGCTTTTGTCTGGTGCCGCTCTAACTTTGTCCCAATGAAGTGGCTTCAATTTTGTCAGTGGTGCTCCATCTTTTCC